ACATTGACTCTTACCACAGGCACTTGTGTTTAGCCATGAAAAAAGAAGAATTAAATTTAAAAAAAACCCCAGGACCGGTCGGCCTCTATAATGCCGATCAGGTTCCGGAACGGACCTTTTTTATTTTATTATTTTTAATGGCTAAGCTTATGTGACTTTGGTCTTACAACCCCCTTGTTAAAACTTGACAGATCCAGAAGAGATTATATGTTAATTCCGTGTTATTTAGTTTAAATAATGTTTTCATTATTAAATTTAAAACGTCGATCCAACTTGAAAATGGAAAACAAATCGGAAGTTTCTTTTCCATGGCAATCGGTACAAAAAGACTAATCGTATGCATAATGTAAGACAGTGTATATATAATGTAAGACAGTGTATATATAATGTAAGACAGTGTACATATAATGTAAGACGATATGAGTGCTGTGCTGTATGGGTTAAAAAAAAACCACTGTTTATTCTGTGAAATCTTGCGAATACAAACTCCAGAAATGCGAAATTCTACATTTCCCGCCGTTATCAGAATTCGGAATGAAGAGATGAAAGATATTGTACAATAACAGATTATATACTCAGGAAATAAAATGATTTTCTGTGTTGGCATTTTCTTTTGGATACTGTTCTTCTTTAGAACATAAGAAACTAATTATTTGATAAAATCGATTTTTTTTTATTTGTTTAGTCGAAATGGAAATGAAATTGGTGTCAAGAGAGTTGGAGAGGACCGCGTCATGCCGATCTTATAGAAAGGAAGGAAAAGTAATTGATATTGACATCATATTCTGTTTCAGATATTCGTTGCAATCGAAGACAAAACTGATGTTGGATCAGGGGAGAATTTACTTCTATAATCCAGTTACACGCGAGCTGGAGTCTGAATAAAAGCCCGAAATACCGGTATTTAATTTGATTTAAGAATCATGTAATAGCAATTCGGATTATTCGTGCATTGGCTGGATTTAGAATTCCATTATAGAAGTGTTTAGTTTCTCTGTGTTAGTTTCATTATGATTTTTTGATTGCGTTATCTCATAAGGTTTTATATTAATGTACACACGTCACCAACACTCCGCGATAAATAAATGCATCTACCGGGGATTTTAACAGGTTAATAAGATATTTTGAATAACACATGGGGGCCTGTAATATAGTATAGACGTTGTCATGGCAACGATGTTACGCAACACAGTATCTCGGCCAATTCCGTCAAAGGTCGGAATCAGACAACTGACGTCATGCTGACGTTATTACACAATGTCTCTGCAGTGTCGACATTTTGTTCTATTGTTCTTCAAACCTGGGTCACCTTACACATGTTAATTTCCCCAGAAATAACACTTAGGGCTTGTTCTGGACATCGATTCGGCTATTATCTCTGATCGTTCAGATCTGTATTCATTGCTTATTACGCCGACTTGCGTCATCGCTCTTTATTCTTCAAAAGCTCGGCGGTCGGAATTAATTTTCCAATATAGAGAAATGTCCATATAACGACGCCTTTATCTGCGTAAAGGTATGTCCATGTTACGTCGCCGCGAGACACAGAAAATCAATGATCAACACAAACATCACACAAGTCTCCCCGTCTTAACAACAATTACGAATCCAGTGTTTCAGAAGCCTTAAGGTTTACTCTGACTTTAATGTTACCTTGCTAATTGACTGTGTCCAACGTTTTACCGATCGGCCGAAATGATTTTAAACCTGAAGTTTTTTTATTGTAGCTAACATGTATATATTGATATTTACCACTGTATGGCGTCGCCACAAAAAGTCCTAAAAAAATCAGATGGCATTCATATAGACTGTAAATGCCATGTGATGACGTCATATCATTATCATGACGTCATTGTTGTGACGTTGGAAACCACTGACCCTTCGTGGAAGATGGCTGTTCATTGAACATAGTTCAGAAATGCGTTATTTTAAAAAGCATATTTTAATATCTTTGATATAAACATACGCCAAAGCATTGAACTGTGTTGATATGACAATTACAGTCCATATGAATGACACAGCTCTGCAGACAATCCAATTATGATATGCTAGCACATATAATGATGTATGCTTGCAAACCTGTGTCATCAATGACATATCAATACAGTTAAATGCTTAAATCTCATAGATAGTAGATCCTGTCAAGTCTGACACCCTGTGTAACACAACATGTTCGACTGATGATTTCGTGAGAATTGAGATCACACTATACTGTTATATATCACAGGATGTCCGAAACAACAGGTTCCATTTTACAATTATTCAAAGATGTTTTAAAATATAATATTGAATATTTCATCTCACATAGCACCATGGACTATTAAAAAATACTTTCGTATCGAGGCCGCCCGATTGTGGATATCTCCGAAATGGAAAGTTTCCGCTATCACTGGCACTAGATGTCAGTTGCTACGTAGAGTTGTCGTTCTGTACGAAAACTCTGTCCGGAGAGAATGGTGGCCGGTTGAACCAAATAACAAATCTCGTGTGACCTCACTCCCCCGACCTAAAGTCGAAAATCTCGCTCCCTCGTCGTCGTATAATTGCTCCTCGCCGTCGCGATTTCGCGTTCTATGTCGCGTTTTCGACTTGAGGTTGAGGGATCGAGTTTTGTAATTTGGCCCTTAACAGCCACCATAGGGTAGAGATTGGCAGGGTTCTGTACGCCATGCAGAGAAGGATTTGTGAATCGATAGCGAAACCTTTGGAGTTCGGAGACGGGGTGAATGTCATCTTATAATTAACAGATGAAATAAGACAGACTAAGTTGGAAGGTTTGCCATAACGTGAAGAAGTTTAACACGTATCAGGCAAGTACGGCGCTCCATACCGAGGCTTCCGTCTTTTGGAAGCTGTTGTACATGTACCTGGGGTAACCTGACATATATAGGTGTAACATATGTCAGGTAGTTAAACCTGTTTTGTTATGTTACCAGCTTACACTTGAGAGTCTATGTAGCCGCTTATCATAGTTTTCTTATGACCACTTTCCATTGAGTGTTTGCTTAAGCATTATGTACATTACATTTGTTTAATTTCTAATATATATGAATCTATGTTATATCTGTTGTTTTAAATAATGCCTATTTAATGTGTATTTATTCATTGATAACTACATGTATTGTAATATTTTTGTTATGCTTAGTTCCGTTTTATCGTATTATCTAAGATCCATGAAGGTTCGGCGAAAATAACATGCCTGTTGTATCCAACTGCATGATCGTAAGAGGCGACTAATATGTCCCCACCCTGCAAACTCGAAGATGGTTCCTCCCTTGTGTTCTATGTGGGGGACATGGAAACCAAGAATAAGCCTGTCCCATCCCACTGCATGTATATCGTAAAAGGCGACTAACGTTGGGCCATTATAGAATCGGGGATTATATATTGTGTATTCTACAAAGGGGACATGGAAGAAACCAAAATGGATCTGCTGCCCCCATTTGCAACACATGGGATATTATTTATTTTATCTCTACTTTCTGTTTCTGGCGTTGTCTCCCAAGTACCCGTCCTCATACCCCAAACAAATAAACTTACTATCTGTGACACATGTTACCGATGTGATACATATTTGAAGGGCCTATTCGTTTATGTGGAACAACCGGTTTGTCCGTTTGTAAATGTAACAATTTCGGATATAAATGCTGGCGGACCTGCAAATGTTTATGCATGCCTTGCGATACTTTGTCAAGGCTCGCATGAAAGCAGCTTCAGATTACTAGGTCCGACCTTATTTAATAAACGAACAACTGTGGTCCGAACGGTTCAACGGTTCAACCGTTTAAACAAAAACGGCCCAGTTTGTTATGTCTGTGGTATACAATGTATCTTGTTGTTTTCTAATTCATCAATGCTATTCCCATTGATGAATGAGAAAACAACATAAGGTCACATGAAGTACAAATGAAAAAAATATTCGGAATGGTATATTGTTCAAATATAGCATAAATATTCCATACTTGTGGTGTTTTATCTATATACAGTAACCTCCCCTTAACTTCCGTTTGGATTATAGCTGTAGCAATCGGGAACCGTCGGCACTTTCCGTAAACGACAAAATACTGGTTTTTTTTTAGTATTTCTCGTTTACGGAAAGTGCCGACGGTTCCCGATTGAGTTGATTCTAGGTACTTCCGTTAATCTGGTAGCTGAGTCGGTTAGAGAAATGGTATACCAATCTGAAGTCCAGGGTTCGAATCCCTGTCTAGCCCCACTGGAACTCAGAAAACTGTTGTGTTTTATGTGTTTCATCTTTATTGTTTCTCATAGAAGTCCTACAAGGCATGGTTTTGTTTTTAGAAATGATTTATCAAAGTTATAGTCATATCGCAAAAACAGGTTCCAAAACTTTTGTTAATTTTTGGCAGTGGTACGGGGGTCCTGAAATGAAAAATTCTTTGACTTGTATCATTAGTCTCGTCTGAAAAGGAGGCCGATGTAAGATACCTTCGATATATAAATAGCAAGACTTACTTGATAAAACAGATAGGCTCTGATGATCAAACACATTACAACCCTCAATTAACTTATACAATTAAAAATTAAAATACAAAACCAGCCATCGGGATCAATTCATGAAAAAAAATATACTTAATGTTATCACTAATTTTTCAGTTCTGAATCAAAATGTTATTTTCAATATTTCATAGATTATGATTAATCAATGTGACCTTTTCAACCAACTTTTGACTCATACCTACAAGTCAAAATGTCTGTTTGAAATTCTAATTCTCGTCTTAGTCGGTTTCATATGATCCTGGGTCCAGATTAGATATCGGCAATCGTTCATTTCATGAATCAAAAGCTTACAAATTACATGTATATTTAATACTGAAGATAGATTTAAATGTATCCTGCGAAGACAATTTAGAATATTACTAGTTTTTGAACAGCTATGTAATCTATTATGATTTCCGCTGAATCGGTACATGCTCGTATACTTAGTACGATAACAACAAAGACGCTAGAAAAGAGCTAAGTGATGACGTCATACTCACGATTAAGATCCCGCGATATACAGCTCAAGTAACGTCAACACCTGTGCTTGTTTACATCAGTTTGGTAAACAACTGAGAGCAGGGTATAACATTCTTCTTTAATCCCACACAATAAATCTCGTCTGCTGTGAAACATCCCCTTGGCGACTGCTGCAGCAAAGTACGGTACAGCACAACATACTACGTTCTGAACAAGTTACAGTCTTAAACAAGCACTGTATTCACAAAAGTTAATGTTCGTATTGTCCTTGTGGTCACGTTATAAACGTTTAAAGGCTTCAGTCAGTCTGTATATCATAAGTGTAACCAGCAAAATCAAAATCGATTTTCTAATGCGTAAGCGGCTGGTTCCAGAATATACCGGAAGCTGGCCAGGGCTTCTTGTATGGTGCCGAAATACGCGATGCAGCATCTCTGTGTAGCTGTCTTAAGCATGACGAAGCACTGGTTAGTTTTATATTGCAGGAGTAAACCTATTGTGACGATCGATTTATTGATTAATTTCTTACCGACTCCCACTACATATTGTATATAGTTTTATATAGTTGTCCACTGCGCCTTATAGTGGCTACTTCTCGTCATGATCCCATCTTCGCTAGCCAAGGGTTACGATCCGGTACCGGTACGATCCAGTCTTCCTTCTCCCAGGTAGATCGTACCGGATCGCAACCCTTGGCAAATCGGGAACCGTCGGCACTTTCCGTAAACGAGAAAATACTATTCTCGTTTACGGAAAGTGCCGACGGTTCCCGATTGAACCCTTGGCTAGCGCATCGGATGGTCATAACCCTACCTACAGGGTTTGCATATTTGGTCACCTCCTGTGGTCAGAGCTCGGAGTCAATCAGAGTTGACTATATGGTTTGGTTTGGTTTGGTTTAGTATTGTTTAACGTCCTATGAACAGCTATGGTCATTTAAGGACGGCCTCCCCTGTGTGCAAGATGCATGCGTGTAGTGTATGCGTGTGTGATTTGGGAGGCTGCGATAGCGCGGAACTGATGCCGACTTGATAGGGCTACCTCACTGAAACATACTCTACCAGAGTTGAGTTGTCGTTCCTTACATTAAAAGTGAGTAACTGAAACTTACGGTAAAGAGATTTGTCTGATGTAAATATTTTACGTTTAAACCATTCCATATTGACAAGTGATTTAGAATTCAAGTTGCTACAGTTTATACTCTACCTAAATTTCCGTTTGATTGTGTAGCTCACTAACGTTCGTGCGAGAGGCACAAATGGTGGGCCATTGTCGCTCACATGTTATTTATTTTGCAGCTTTGAGCTTTAAAGAGGGTCAAGGTCTAATTCAGTTTTACAAAAGCATCGGTTAATTTACAAACCACGGTTCTTTAGTGGAAGATCATATTTCCTGGTAATCTACACTATATAAATAAGTAAAAGACTTAAACTTACTGTAAAAATATGATCATCAAAGATGGTCTATGCCATTCATTCAGTTCCCACACTGTATATCTCTTTACACCATTAAGCTAACTACCAAATATGATAACCATTCGTCTCTTGGCTATTCAGAATAAGCCGTTTTATGTTAGATATTTGACGTATGTGACCTTGAAAATGTGTCAAGTACATTCACTGGAACAAACTAAAGGCAGATTAAGGTAATATATTTGAATAAACTTGATAGCCCTTCATTCCAGAATGCTATTGGTCACATATACTGATTACAGTTCTCTTGAGTATTCCGAAGAATTTGCTTAAATGCTCCCCCCCCCCCCTCCCCAGATTTTATTCTTATGACTTTGAATATATATCGACCAAGGTCATTTTTAAAAAACATAGTCCTTCATCACAACATGCTACTTTCAAGTGTTGTTATTAGGAAAACAAGTTTGAAGGTTTTAACACATTTGATCCCTATGACCTTGCAAATAGGACAAGGTCATTTTTGTTAGGGAACAGTAAAGAATAAGTCACTTGTAGGATTTCACGTTGTCAACCCCTGTGACTTTGTAAGTAGATAAAGGTTATTTATTTTTGCAAATTATCGGGCTCCATAGATAAATAAAAGCATTATTGAATTCGATAAAAACATATCCAATTAAAGAATGAAAGTTAAATATGATGTTGCCAAGTGTAACGATATTCCAAGAAACGTTGTAGACAATGTTATATGATCAATAACAATATAATGCATCACTCCAACATGTTGATGACGTCATGTTAACTGTTATCTGCATGACGTAACCTAGGGAAGTTTGTTATAAGCATGAGTATAAATGATAAAATCATTATCCGATACACCGCGTGGTGCTGATAGGATTGTGTATGAAGTTAGACGAACACACACGTTAGATTACACATAAGCAATGCAGACAGACGAACACGCGTTAGATTACACGCATAACGGCGGACATCCCGCGGTATGTAGCACGTGCCCCCAAGGTCGTTTGGGGTTTTTTTACGCGGTAGTCGCGTACAAATGTCCTTTCATTCAAAAGACGCACGCGTGTGATATTGATATAGTAACCTGGTATACATGCTTAGTGTGATTGTAATGTTAAGTTGTTAGATATGTTGTCCGCCACAGATATATTACACATTCCTATATGTTAAGCACGCGGTGTGACGCATAAACAGCACGCGCGTCCATACGTTCATAAGTGAGTAAATAGCCTTGAGAGCATTGACCTTGTCGAGGGAGGTTAATGCACGATCTGGATACCTTATTACTCCCCGAGGGAAAATTTGCACGTGCCTTCTCAACTTCGAGTATAAATAGTTGATAACGTGCATTTCTTTTCGCATGTTTATACAAGTGAAAAGAATTACACGTTTACGCCCTTAACAGTTCAATTTGAAAACTATTTTTTGCTTTTGATCGTTTTGATAATTTCCAAAATGTGTTAGAGAAACGTAACACTTTATTTAGCTCGTTACTCCTTGACCCACTGAGACACGACATGTACTCGGAGGATCCAATGCGATATATGTGCTTATTAATTTTACTTCATCTTTTGTAAACCACCAAATCATATTTTAGTATTATAACATGAAAGATTTGAAAGCTGTTTTATTTTCTAACACCAATTTTCCTTTTGCTCCGTTGTAACTTGTAATTTCACAGACGCGACAAACTTCAATAACTCGTATCGTAGACAGCGATTTTTGCACTACATGTCATTCAGACTGAAGTGACGTATTTCCTGGAAAATTGCTTCAGCATCAGTTACATCATGACTATAGATAAATCATTATAAGGTCTGCATCACCTTAGGACAAGTACGTGTTGGGGCTTGTTTGGGACTCTGCACTACGATGGTAGGTCCTCTGATAACTTTAACTATTTATGATGGAGTCAACTTGCAAATGCATCTACACGATACGTGTTAGAGTTATCGCCCTTGGATTTAATGGAAGTGTTATTAATGTATAATATAACTCGATACGGTGCCCATCGTTTCATTTGCCCCTCTTTTACCTCAAACCTAAACATTCAATTATATGTACTAAAATATTATTCAATGTATCGCCAAACCTATTAATAAAGTCAAAGCGTCAACATTTTCCTGGATAAAAATGATGGTAACATCACAAAGTTTAACTGTATGTAACCACTGTTGCCTTATTTACGAAATTCACAATAACGTCACATAAATGTTTCGTCATAAAATAACAAACTTACGTCACACTTCTATAAATTTTAATACAAAAACAAATGCATTATCCTCACCAATAGGCTAATCATACAATAATACACAATAGTGATAAATGCCTTACACATATACCTTATTTTTCACTATTGGCAAAGACCCAGATTACACTTTACGGCAAATAATGCCGTAAAGTGGTCCAGAGTTGTAAACCTTATCATGTCGTGTGACTGCAGACATCTCAATCTGACTGATGAAGATAGGTACGATTCTAAAATAGGATCATTATTATACCCCTCCTCACCCGTCCGTCATTCCGTCCGCCTGTCCGTCCGTCCAATGTATTGTGAAAACACTTCCTTAATATCCTAACTTTGTCAAAATAAAATCAATGTATATATTTAGAGGAAACAAGGGTCATGCTGCAGTCCCCTGTTGTAGCTTTATACAATGGGTGAGGTATGGATCGCGCTACAGTCCCTTGCGATAGCTATTTACAAAAGAGGAGACACATATCGTGCTACAGTCCCCTGTGATTGCTATACAGAGAGCAGGCAAAGATCGTGCTATAGTTCCCTGTGATAGCTATATACTATAGAGGATACAAGGATCGTGCTACAGTACCCTGTGGTAGCTATATAATATAGAGGAGACAAGGATCGTGCTATAGTTCCCTGTGGTAGCTATATACTATAGAGGAGACAAAGATCGTGCTACAGTACCCTGTGGTAGCTATATACTATAGAGGAGACAAGGATCGTGCTATAGTTCCCTGGGGTAGCTATATATACTATAGAGGAGACAAGGATCGTGCTATAGTTCCCTGGGGTAGCTATATATACTATAGAGGAGACAAGGATCGTGCTGTTGCTATACAGAGAGCAGGCAAAGATCGTGCTATAATTCCCTGTGGTAGCTATATATATACAATAGAGGAGACAAGGATCGTGCTAAAGTTCCCTGTGGTAGCTATATAATATAGAGGAGACAAGGATCGTGCTATACATTTTAAATTGCGCGAGAAAAGTTAAGTCCCAAACAAGTAAAATATTTCCAAAACCAGAAATTATTTACCCAAATTATATCGATATTGTCCTTGTAAGATCCCACATAAACATCCATGCCAATAATTAGGACAATAACACATGATCTGATTGAACTGTATACCACTGATGAAACTTGCACCTAAACTTTAACCGAGAAATTGCGCGAGAAAAGTTAAGTCCCAAACACGTCAAAAATTTCAAAAATTAGAAATTATTTTCCAAATTAAATCGACATTGTCCTTGTGAGAAAATCCACATGAACATTCATGCCAAAAATTGAAATAGGAACTCACCCCGAGCTAGGACCAGGAACATGGAATTTGAACATAATCTCAATTTTGACAATTTTCGGATATAGGGTCCCAGGGGGTCTAGAAACCGTACCGGTGCACCGGTTTTGAAAGGTTGCACGTATAGGGGGTGCCAATGGCAGCATTCACATCGAGTTTCATTAACATTGAAATAGGAACTCACCCCGAGCTAGGACCAGGAACATGGAATTTGAAAGGTTGCACGTACAAGGGGTGCCAATTACAGCATTCACACCGACTTTCATTAACATTGAAATAGGAACTCACCCCGAGCTAGGACTAGGAACATGGAATTTGAACAAAATCCCAAGTTTGACGATGTTTGGGTATAGGGTCCCAGGGGGTCTACAAACCGTGGCGGTGCACGGGTTTTGAAAGGTTGCACGTACAGGGGGTGCAAATGACAGCATTCACACCGGGTTTCATTAACATTGAAATAGGAACTCACCCCGAACTAAGACCAGGAACATGGAATTTAAACAAAATTTCAATTTTGACAATTTTCGGGTATAGGGTCCCAGGGGGTCTAGAAAAAAGTGCCGGTGCACGGGTTTTTAGAGCTAACAAATGTCTTCTTTTATAACAAAATTATACAATTTTTTTAATGTATCATGGACTGAAAACGTGACTGCATCGTCATAGTCAGATTCACCTGATATGTTTTAAATCTCTTTAACCA